ACTAAGCTGGCAGGAATAGCTAACACCCAAGAAGATAGGCTCAAGATCCAGATGGATCTTGACAGACTAGAACACTGGGCCATATCTAACAAAATGAAATTCAATGTAGAGAAAAGTAAAGTCCTATACCTAGGCAAGAAAAACCAAAAGTACACATATAGACTGGGTGAAACCAGGCTCAATAGCAGTAACTGTGAGAGGGATTTTGGAGTCTTAATGGACAACCAGCTAAATATGAGCCAGCAGTGGGCAGCCGCGCCAAAAAAGCTAATGCAATCCTAAATTGTATTAACAGAGGGATACAGTCAAGATCAAGGGAAGTATTAATACCACTCTATAAAGCCTTAGTAAGACCACATCTAGAGTACTACATCCAGTTTTGGTCACCACATTATAAAAAAGATGTTGAGACTCTAGAAAAAGTACAGAGAAGAGCAATCAGGATGATTAGGGGACTGGAGGCTAAAACATACGACGAACGGTTGCAGGAACTGGGCTTGGCTAGTCTAGTAAAGAGAAGGACCAGAGGAGACATGATAGCAGTCTTCCAATATTTGAGGGGCTGCCACAGAGAGGAAGTGGTCAAGCTATTTTCTAAAGCGCCTGTAGGCCAGACAAGGAATAATGGGTGGAAACTGAGCAAGGAGAGATTTAACCTGGAAATAAGGAGAAACTTTCTGACAGTGAGAACAATCAACCAATGGAACACCTTGCTCTCGGAAGTTGTGGGAGCGCCATCAGTTGAGATTTTCAAGAAGAGATTGGAGTGCCATTTGTCAGAAATGGTATAGGGTCTCCCGCTTGGGCGGGGGGTTGGACTAGATGACCTTCAAGGTCCCTTCCAACTCTGATTATCTGTATCTGTATCAATGGGTTGGGGCTAGCTATATGGACCTCAGAGGCATCTTCCTGTGTGTATATGTAAAGGTAAAGGTTCCCCTTGCACATACGTGCTAGTCCTTTCTGGCTCTAGGGGACGCTGCTCATCTCTCTTACAAAGCTGAAGAGCCAGCTCTGTCTGAAGATGTCTCCGTGGTCATGTGGCTGGCATGACTAAAAGCCAAAGCGTTTACCTTCCCACCAAAGGGGTCCCGACTTTTCTACTTGCATTTTTACATGCTTTCGAACTTCTAGGTTTGCAGAAGCTGGGACAAGTAACAGGAGCTCACTCCATTACGCTAGGGATTTGAACTGCCAAACCTTTCTGATCCACAAGCTCGGCGTCTTAGCCACAGAGCCACCACATCCCTTAACCTGTGTATATACACAGACACAAACTAAGATGCTGTCTCTTAGAAGAGAGTATAAGAACTTCATTAAATGAGGTTTAAAGAGACAAAGCAAAGTTATTTGTGCATGTAGAAATAATACCTGTCGTTCATCAGCTGGGCTGAAGTTGGCAATTGTAATTCCTAGATTTTAAAAAGGCAATAATCCTAATCATTACAGGTCCAATATACATGCCTAAGGTCCTTAATATGCATTGCAGCACTTTGCTACAGGCTGATAAGATATATTTGCAAATTGAATTTAAAAGGTTGTTTAAAAGACTTGGCTTCTACCTCATGGTGATTCTTTAATTATTTATAAGTTAAAGTGAAAGACCGCAGATGGCTATTAGAAGGTACGTTAATACAGCAAATTGACACCTTCCCTTATTTAGAGGTAGCCTTCTCTGAATCTGGGTCTCAGTTTCATCTCATTTACTTCCACATACATATGAATTTGCTATTAAAATTAGTACATTAATAAATTGTTATTTGGGTTCCTTGGCCCCAATTATTGAGATGTATACAGGTAGCGCTCGGCTTACACCATTCATTTAGTAACTGTTCCAACTTACAACAGCACCAAAAAAAAGTCAATTATGACCATTTTTCAACTCAACAACTGTTGCAGCATCCCCATGGCCACATGATCAAAAATAACTGGCATGTGTTTATGATGGTTCCAGTGTCTCGGGATCATGTGATCACCTTTTGGGACTTTCTGATAAGCAAAGTCAATGAAGAAGCCAAATTCACTTAACAATCATGTTATACTAACTTAACAGCTGCAGTGACTCATGTAACCACTGTGGCAAGAAAGATTGTATAATGGGCAATACTCACTTAAAAACCATCTTGCTTAGCAACAAAAATGTTGAGTTGTGGTCATAAGCCAAGGACTACATGTATGACACTGTTAATTGTTTCACTATTCAATGAAAAGACTTGCCACCTTTTTACTTAAAGTTTCTTTTTTATTAGATTATTGGATTCTTTATTGGGACCAATTCTACAGGTGTTATTTGTCATAGTACAAACACATACAAACACATTTAATTTTTATTTTGTTCCATATCACTATAGGAACAGAAACAGATAATCCAATATTCAGAGTAGGGTATAGATATACGGTTGATTCATTGGAAATTGTGAATATATGTATTTGTGCTATATAGCCTACAATTCTACGGTATGTACCAGAATCAATCTTATTTAAATGCAGGGACTTCTGAGTAAACTTGAATGAGATTTTATTGTGCATTTGCTTTTTCGACCTCCCTTGGTGAAATATTTGTGCTGATGGATAGGTATTATTGAGGTCAAGCTTTATCTGAGCAATTATTTGGCTCAGGTTGTACACTTGTCTAAAAAAAATACTCAGAACTATCTTTACGTTGGCGCTTGTGTTAAGGCTTCCAGTGCTCTTTCAAAGCTCACCAGCTGTCTCTCATGGTGAGAAATAAATAGACAACATCATTAAGTAAACTTCCTATGTGATACTGTTGTCATGACGGCAGTGTTTCCTCTTAGCTACCATATATAAAGCCACCTTGAGACCTCAGCCACATTTTCATTGCTTTGCTTCTGCTTTTTTCGTCTTCTGACCATTAAATGACTTGAGTGGAAAAATTAGGGGAGGAGCGGGGAAGGAAGAAAAGCCAATTTGTTACCCTATAGTAATAAGATCTACTGAGGCATGAATTTCCATTGCATCTATTTTTCAAACTGTCCTCTGGAAAAAAAAGTAAAAAATAGAAAACTACCCCCTTCCAAAGATACTGTTCTTGAGGTGGTGTTTCTATCAAGTATTTTTTAATTGATCAGTCCTCGTACCATTCCAGAATAACAGAGTTGGAAGAGACCTTGGAAGTCTTCCAATCCAACCCACTGCTGAGGTAGGAAACCCTACACCATTTCAAACAAATAGTTGTCCAATCTCTTCTTAAAAACTTCTGGAGGCAAGTTGTTCCACTGATCGTTAAAACAGTCAGGACATTTCTTAGTTCCAGGTTGATTCTCTCCTTGATTAGCTTCCATCCATTGCCTAAAATGACATTCCGGTGGGGGGGGGGGGGAAATCCGGTAACTTTCCCATCAAAGAAAGAACACACTATTCCCCCACAATCCAATCCATTGAAAGGGATTGAAGGGAATTATCTTCTTTCTTGGAAAAGCCATTTAAGGCGACCTCTTTAGTGTGCAATTCCTATGCCTCTTTCAGAAACATTTATGAAGCTCTTCAGATGACATTACTATATATATAACAGCTGCCTGTATTTCTACTTATTTTTTTTTTTCATTTCCTTACTTCAGAAAATTTACTGAAGACCAGAATAGTGGCACAATTTGGAAGAGGCAGTAAAGAAAATGCAATGCAGAGACACCATAGATCTTCTAGATGTTCTGTTGGATTAGAAGATCTCCAATGTCCTTCCAACTGTTATTCTGTACGGTATTCTGTATTCTTGGAGAATGTGGATGTCTTATGGTTGCCTTTCCTATCCTACCCCTCCCCCTTTTCAAAAACACACATCACTCTTAACTTATGCTCCTGGGAAAGTGTGCTGAAGTTAGAACAGAAATTTGAATTTCTTATTCTGGAGTTGTGGGGGGGAACCATTGAGAGAAAGTTCCTTCCTTTTATTTTGAGAAAGAGAAATTCCTACAGCAATGAGGAGGAAATATTTAACTTTCTTTGTTCTATGCAGAGCAATTCTCTTTTGATTTTTTTGCACTTTCTTGGAAATTGAAATCATCACAATCATCCTGGCTGATTCAATCTGGCAGGCTGGCACACACTTTTAATTAAGTTTCTTTGGTTAAATCAGTGTTGCCCAGCCTTGCAATTTTTAAGATGTGTGGTCTTCAACTCCAAGAATTCCCCAGCCAACATACTGGAGAGATTTAACCTGGAAATAAGGAGAAACTTTCTGACAGTGAGAACAATCAACCAATGGAACAGCTTGCCCTCAGAAGTTGTGGGAGCGCCATCAGTTGAGACTTTCAAGAAGAGATTGGACTGCCATTTGTCAGAAATGGTGTAGGGTCTCCTGCTTGAGTGGGGGGTTGGACTAGATGACCTACAAGGTCCCTTCCAACTCTGATTATCTGTTATCTGTTAACTTCAGAGGGCAAGCTGTTCCACTGGTTGATTGTTAGAAAATTTATCCTTATTTCCAGGTTGAATCTCTCCTTGTTCAAGTTTCCATCCATTGTTCCTTGTCTGGCCTTCAGGTGCTTTGGAAAATAGCTTGACCGCCTCCTTTCTGTGGCAACCCTTCAGGGGATTGGACTAGATGACCTACAAGGTCCCTTTCAACTCTGTTAATCTGTATCTATATCTGGCTCTTCTCCCGTTTTGGGCCAGGGTTAAGTGATTGCATTGGGTCAACTCATTGTTTTTTATGCCCCGGTCCCCATTTTTCATATAAGGGCTGGAATGCGAACGGGGCTTAAATTCGTGAGCACTGAATCACGCCGACAACGGTCCTCCCATCCAGCCCCCGCCAGTCCTTTCCCGCTTTCCAGTGAGGGGGAGACGATCCTGATGCTGTCCCTGCCCGGCCTCGACGACACCTCCTGGAGTGCCCCAAGAGGCCATAATAAAAGCCCAGGAATTTATCAGCATCTCGAACCAATGTTCGCTTTCGTTTCTGGGCTAGCGGCTGCTTTCTATTTCCCCGTCTTCCAAAAGGAAAAGGGCGGGACTCGCTCTTGAGGATTTTTTCAGGGTCCAAATCACCGCCCCGTAAAAGAAGTTTGAGGAAACAAATCACTTTGTCTACGACCGTCCCTGCCTTTCGAAAAGCCCACGCAAGAACTTGCGGAGTCCATTTCCCCCTTGTTTTTGGCGTTCTGGGAGGTTTGCTGGAGGTCTCCCCGTTGTCATCTTCTGTTTCCAATCCTCGGCTGATAGAAAGCGCCCCGTAAAGGTAAAGACTTATTGAATGTACTCGTGAACGCTAAACAATGGATAAAATGATTGGGATCTCCTTTATTACAATACTTTCTGCCGACAAGGGATATACCTGCTGTCTAACCAGCTAATTTAATCTCATTTCACTCGGCGGGGGGAGCGAGAAATCATAGTTGGTTGATCCAGCACAGGCAACCACAAGCCAGATATTTTGATCATGGTTTAGTTTAGTGTGAGTTGCTGAGCTAATTTTGGCTTACTCAGTAAATGGGGATAATAAGCGAAAAGCTCACCTGCTCAAAGCAGCAAAAATTCCCTAGCCTAGCTGAAAATGAATAAGGGAGTGGGTTAAAAAAAAAAGACAAAATAGCAGGAGAAATTCAGTTCAGGTAGTCCTCAACTTATAACAGTTCATTTAATGACTGTTCAAAGTTACAACATCACTGAGAAAAGCAACTTAACAACCATTTTTCACACTTACAACTGTTGTAGCATCCCCATCTGGTCACATGATTTACATTGCGATGCTTGACAACTGGCTCACATTTATGACCGTTGCAGTGTCCAGGAGTCATGTAATCAATTGCCTTTTGTGACCTTCCTGACAAGCAGAGTCAGTGGGGAAACCAAATTCACTTAACAACCATGTTATTAATTTAACAACTGCAGCTATTCACTTAACAAATGTGGCATGAACAGTCATAAAATGGGGCAAAACTCACTTAACAAATTTCTGACTTAGCAACATAAATTATAAGCGCCATTGTGGTTGTAAGTTGAGGACTACCTGTATAATCCTCTTGTTTGGGTCTTCATCTCTTTTTTTTCCCCTTTAGCAGCAATAAGGATGGAACAGTTGAAAGATGATTCCATTGCTGGAACCAGTGATGAAAATTCAAAGGTAGAATTCTTGCTTATTCTGAATTGATCACTGTTCTCATTGTCTGTGTGTGGTGAGGTGTGCTTTTCATGGGCATGTCACGACATGCCTTTCATTACTCTCCCCTTGCCTCCAAGTCTGCGGCTTAAACTTTTTCAGGTTGTGGGACATGTTAACATTTATCATTCCTATTATATACACAATTGTGGGATCATGGCTGCCAATTCTTTAGCTGGGCTTGGCCTTCCTACACGTCAAGTTCTTAGAGAACCGAGATGTTGTAAAGTATCAGCAGAGTAAATGTGTGGATCCAAGCAGCATGGCCTTTTGTTAAATGACAGACGTTTTGTCAATGTGCAGATCCTTTTAAGTGCCATCAAAGTTTTTTGGGTATCTGGGAGTTATTAACAGATAACAGATAATCAGAGTTGGAAGGGACCTTGTAGGTCATCTAGTCTAACCCGCTGCCCAAGCAGGAGACCTTACACCATTTCTGACAAATGGCAGTCCAATCTCTTCTTGAAAGTCCTCCTCTGACTGTTCAGCCGGCCTCTGCCCTTCCCCAGCCTGCTCCACAACCTCTGGAGCCACACTTCCACTCCCTGTTCCTCCTCTCCCTCAGAGTCAGTCTCCACCAGGGGCATGACACTGTCTTTATCCCTGATGGGATGCTATTTCAGAAAGTGTGGGGCTGTTTCAGAAGGCCCACTGTCTTAGTTTTCCAAGAGGGCAATGTTTAATAGAGAAGACCTAGTTGTTCTGCTTATCTACTGGGTGGGCAGAAAAAAATGGAGATAGGCAGTTCCTTAGATAACTAGGCCCTATGCCATACAGGGTTTTATTGATGACAACCAGCACTTGAAACGCAGATGGAAACCAACTGGCAGCCATGCAGCTCACCTAGCTAGCAGCAGTGACACACGGCCATAGTGTAAAAGCAACTAGCATTGTTGCTTGCGCTGCTGCAGTTTGAACCAGCTGTAGCTTCCAAATTGTATTTGAGGGCAGCCCCAGGTAGAATACATTGCAAAGCCCAATTATGAGGTCATCAGGCCACGAGTAACCACTGGAAGGCCTCCGGTTGAAGAAGGATGAGCCTGTGCAATGGCACTCCTGCCATAGCTACTACCTGCTGTTTCAGCACTAGCTGCCAGTCCAGGAGGACCCTCAAGTTGTACTCCAGTCTCAAATGGGGAAGAATTACCCTATCCAAGACCAACAATGAAAACTTCTCCAAACCGGGTAGGGAGAGGGAATAAACAGCCACAGGCATTCAGTCTTGTCTATAGCTGAACAGCCTGTAGAACTTGGGTCAAATCATACTCTAGTAATGGAAAGTTGGTTGAGTTTGAGTCTATTGTTTTTTGTCCTTAGTCTCTGAGAATACAGTTTGAAAATCCTGTTCTCATCCACACTGCCTCAAGAGTCCAGGAATGGGTTAAGCTCCTCCTTCTGACATCATAGAGCTGAGTTTGTATTATAAAAAAGTCAGCCCCTGGCTGGCCCACCCATCTTTTGGCTCAGCTTCTTGTCTGAGAGTATAGTCTTTGGAAAAAGTGCTTATAAAAAGCTGAAAGAAAGTTGGAACATCACAGGAGACAGCTAATACTTGTAAAATCAACTCCCAGGAATCCGGTGGAGCTCTGTCTCCAGGAGAGTGGGGATCCACTCTCCTGCAATGCCAAGGCTTCGGCACTGCCTCACAAAGGGCTACGGACCCAGGGAGTGCTCGCAGGAGCCTCCCATGCTGCCCTGTTGATCGCGTGGCTTGTTGATGCTGTCGCTGGCCAAGCTGCTTCACAGCTGACTCTGAAGCCTCAGTTTCACCGCTTCTCAGCTGTTGCGCTGTTATTCAATTGCTCAGGGCCTGGTAAGAGCCTAAAGAACGAAGGAGGTGGTGAGGCCATCCCAGAGCCACTCCATGTGGTGGGTGGCCATTTTGTTTTAGCCGGGTGGCCATTTTGTTTCAGGGAGAAAAGCTGCCCCAGGGCCTCACAGTTTTGTAACTCGCCTGGCCCAAAGTAACAGGCAGCACCCCAGTGGGGGAAGCTCACAGCACCCTGGGTGTCTGCTCTGTTTGCAATATGGAGAGGGAAGTCCCCCAGCTGGGGTCAAAGGATTGGAAGACAGCCAAGACTCTCAAGCCCCTTCGAGGAAGAAGAAAAGACAAAGAGCCCTTTCTGCTAACAGAGGTTGCTGCAAAAATCAGAGCCAAGGCCCTAGCTCTCAGAAAGACTTCAAAATCAGAACTTAGGGCTGAAAAGAGAAGCATGCTGCACTTGAGAAGCAGTTTGCAATGGCTTTGGCACAGATGCTGGCCTAGATTCAACAGGTTTCTCACTCTGGGGAGGTGCATGTTAGCCCTGAAGTTTCTTCCAAGGGGGGTGAATCTTCTCCCAGTCACCCGTTAGCTTGGTCCACAGAGAGTGGAGGAAGAACAGTTTCCCCAGGACCTAAGCAGATCAGGGCCTTCCTCTAGACAGGCTACCTGAGGGCCTGGCCCTTCCTTCCTTGGTGGTCAGGGGGCTCAAGGGGGCATAGGCCTAGGCCTGAAGCAACCTACATCCCCACAGCTGCAGGCCTACTTCCTGAGGAGAATAAGCCTGAGGACCTTAGGGAAATGGTCTCTGTAGCCATAAGGCAGGGCCTAGCAGAAGGATTTAAACAATTCCTTCAAACAATTCCACCGTAAATGGAAGTTGGCATCAGCTCTGTGCACGGGCGATAAGCTATTTGGCAACATCCTTGAACCATACTTGACAGAGACAAAGGACAAGAGGAAGATCCTCTCTTCAGCGGGGAAGAGGTCTGAGTATCGCCCTGGGCCATATTTTCAGCCCACATCTTTCAGACCTGAAACCAACTCTCGGTTCTTTAGAGGTCAGAGGTACTTTGCTGCTCGCCAAGACGAGTGTCCTGAAACTTCCAGCAGACAGCAACAGGTCCCCAGTAAATGGCCCTTTTGAGGGGGAGGAGGTCATTCATTCAGATGCTCGAAATGAATGCCCCATCTCCCCCCCCATCGGAGGCCATTTGGTTTTCTTTGCCTCCAGATGGGAGGAGTCTACATCAGACGCCCGGGTTCTTGAGACGGTGAGGTCGGGCCTCCAACTGGAGTTTCTCTCCCCACCTCCATGATGGTTTGTTCTCTGCTCCACTTCCAGAGACCGCTCTAAACAGGCTCTTATGGAATCGGCAATCCAACATCTTGTTGACATACAAGCCATTCAACTGGTTCCTGAGGATCTACGAGGGCAGGGCTTCTATTCTCGCCTCTTTGGGATCCCAAAGGCCTCTGGGGGTTGGCGAGCTATTTTGGACATTAAATTCTTAAACAAATGTAACCTATACAGGCGTTTTAAGATGCAGACCTTGCATTCTATCCTTGAGAGCGTTCGAGAGGGCGACCTCCTCTCTTCCATAGACCTCATGGAGGCTTAGCTCCATATTCCTATCTGGCCTCATCATTGCCAGTTTCTCCATTTTTGTTATCAGAATGAACATTTCCAGTACCAGGCACTACCCTTCGGTCCCTCGTCGGCCCCAAGGGTCTTCACGAAAGTCTTGGCAGCTTTGGCAGCTTCACTTCACACCATTCTGATGAGGGTCCAGTGCTACCTGGATGACATACTCATCTAGTCGCAGTCGATCCACTCAGCTCATCGCAACCTTCACATCACATTGCAGAGCCTACGAGACCACGGGTTCTCGATCAACCTAATGAAAAGTCACCTTTCCCCGATGACCAGGTTGCTTCACCTCAGGGCGATTATAGATATGTCACTCTGCGAGATGTTTCTCTCCCTAGATTGAGGGGAGAGCCTTCATAGTTGCATCCTTCAGATTCAGATTCAGAGCACTGTCCCATTGTCTCTACTGTCCCAGATCCTAGGAAAGATGATCTCCTGCATTGGAATCGTCCCGTGGGCCCATCTTCATGCCTGGGAACTCCAATGGTTCTTGCTCCCCTTTCAATGGGCAGGAACCAGCCATTCTACCATAAGGGTACAGGTTCCTTCTTAGGTCCTTTAGTTCTTCGCATGGTGACAGTCCCAAGCCCTAGAGAGTGGTCTTCCATTCAAGAAGCCAGACAGGATCCGGCTCACCACAGATGCCAGTCTCCATGGTTGGGGAGCCCATCTGGAGGGGGAAATAGCCCAGGGGTGTTGGTCACAGGCAGAAAGCATGTGCCCCATAAATTGGCTGGAGCTCAGGGCTATTTCTGGAACAGGGTGGCTGGTCATCATGTGTTAGTCATGATGGACAATGTGGCTGCAAATGCCCATGTCAACAGGCAAGGGGGGACCAGGTCCAGGGCCTTGATGAGAGAGGCAGAGTGCCTAGGAAGGTGGGTGGAGAGACACCTCCTTTCCATCAGGGCAGATCATATATCGGGGGTCGACAATGTCCAGACCGACTGGTTGAGTCAGTCCACAGTAGACCAGGCAGAGTGGAGTCTCCACCCCTCTGTTTCGGGACTTGTCATGCCGATTCGGTCCTCTGACTGTAGACCTCTTTGCCACCACTCAGAATGCCCAGGTGGGCAGGTTCTTCACCAGGTTTCCGACCCAGGGAGCGGAGGCGACTAATGTGCTTTGGAATGCCTGGCCTCCAGGTCTCCTCTATGCCTTTCCTCCTCTTCCCATTATTCCAGCTGTAATTTGGAAGTTGTTGGTGGAAAAGGTGGAGCTAATTCTCCTGACACCCCATTGGCCCAGGAGACCCTGGTTCCCAGATCTAGTGAACCTGTCTGTGGCCCAGCCATGGAAGATCCCGGCTTCCAGGATCTCCCTGCATCAGGGGGCATTACTTCACCCGAACCCCCAGTGGTTCAGCTTAAACGTTTGGTGCTTGAGTGGCAATCTGTGAGAGCTTCCAACTTTCCTGACAGAGTGATTGACACCATACAAGCTTCCCGAAAGTTGTCTACCACATACATCTACAATGCAACTTGGAGGGCCTTCTGCTCCTGGTGCATTCCTTTGGCCAGAGACCCCTCTTCTGCTTCTGTGGCAGAGGTGGTAATGTTCCTACAAGATGGCTTAGACAAGGGACTGGCCCCAAACACGCTTTGCCGCCAGGTAGCAACTCTCTCCTCTGTTCTATCCTGGGAGGGATATGCTTCTCTGTCCCATCACCCTTCAGTGCGCAGGTTCCTAAGGAGGGCATCTAACATTCGACCTCCTGTTGTCCATAGGTTTCCCACTTGGGATTTACCTAAAGTTTTACAAGCTCTAATGAGGCCCCCTTTTGAGCCCCTCAGATCTGTATCTCTACAAAAGCTGTCCCTCAAGGTATTTTTAGTGGCCATTACCTTGGCCAGGAGAGTGTCTGAATTAGCGGCACTTTCGGTACGACAGGACCTGTGTCTTTTCCATCAGAACTGGGTAGTTCTTAGGTTACACCCCATGTTTGTCCCTAAGATAAACACTTGGTTTCACTGGGTGCAAGATGTGTTACCAGACTTTTGCCCCAGACCACAACATGAATTGGAACACAGGTGGCATGTACTGGATGTGAACTGAATTTACATCAAATGGATGGTGGCCTTTGAAAAATCTGAAGCCATGTTTGTGCCATTTCATCACTTTACCCTGGGAAACAAGGTGACTTCATTGACAATTGGTAGGTGGATCAAAGCTTGTATATCCAAGGCATACCAAACTTTGTCCATGCCAGTCCCCAGACGCATCACGGCCTACTCCACTAGGAGTGCGACTACTTCGGCCACCTGGTCTACTCAAGCATCACTGGAGGAGATCTGCAGAGTGGCTACCTGGGCTTCGGCTTCGCCGTTTATATGGCATTATCTCCTGGATTCATTTGCCTCAGCCCAGGCATCGTTTGGTTGGAGGGTGCTTCAACAGGTGGTTCCTCAGTCGGAGTGACTGGCCCAGACATTGGCCCTCCCGTGGACATGCAGGCTTTGGTATGTCCCATTCCTGGACTCTTGAGGCAGCGTGGATGAGAATGGGCATTGGTATAATTACCTGAGAACGCCCTTTCTATCTACGCTGCAAGAGAGTCCAGCCACACCATATAAGTCTGGTTATGATGGTTGGGGAGGGGTGAAATTAATTTCTTGCTTATCTTCTAGAGACACATTACGTCTGTCAAGTATCCTCGCCTAGAAGATGGGTAGGCCAGCCAGGGGCTGGCTTTTTTATAGTGGCAGACTCAGCTCTATGATGTCAGAAGGAGGAGCTTAACCCATTCCTGGACTCTTTTGCAGCGTAGATAGAAAGGGCATTCTCAGGTAATTATACCAATGCCCAGTCCATCCCTTAAGTAACCACTGATCTAGCAAAATGCAATACGAGTGCCCCTGTGCAGGCACCCTGCCCCCCCACGCATGCACACATCCCTCGTGCATGTTCCCCAACCCCCGTGCATGTATGTGCATCCCCTGGATGCGCCCCGTGCATGCACGGCAGAGACCTAAAGACCAGCTGACCAGCGGGAGGCACGTGCACATACGCGGTGGAACTGAGCTGAGGCGACGGCTAGTGTGCCCGCAGAGAGGGCTTTGCATGCCACCTGTGGCACGAGTGGCATAGGTTCACCATCATGGGGCTAAGGGCTCCCTGCTAACTTGGCTTTCACCTGCTCCAGAGGAAGAAACAGAAACTTTGAAAGACAAACATGGAGTCTATCCTCTTCCTGTTTTTAAATGTCACATAAGAGAAGCCAGTTCTCCTGACTGGATCCTTGGTGTTTGGTTTTGAAAGTGTTAGTTGACTCTGCTATTACTGGGAGTGATAAATCAGGCTAACTTTCCTTTAATTCTTTTCCTGTTGGGATGTCATGGTGGAATTTCTCCACAGTCTCCATACCTTTCCTTACTACATTATGGAATCACATGCATCTGGAGATAAGGGTAGAGCAGAACATGTTTTAAATTAATCTATGATCGAGAATCCCAGGTCTGCAGTGAGCCTGGTTACAGAGAAGATTTTAAGTCCCTTCAGCTTGAATATATAGAGACAATTGCCCTTAAGGTTATTGTGTTCAAGAGGAAAAAGTATCTGGTACTGTAGACATGTTGAGCCAAGATTTGTGCTCATGGTCTTAATTATTTTCTTTCTTTCTTTAAGTAGCTTCATTATATTCAATTCAGGAAATGCCTGAATTGGGCTAAAAGCACCTATGAAAACATCCCATACAAAATTTTGTTTCACATCTACCTTACATAGGTGCTAGGCACCACATGGTCTTTTTACTGTTGTCGTTTTAATGAAAAACAAAATACCAAACCAAATGCATATTTAATTGTTTCCTTTTATTAGATCAAAGAAGAAGTACGAATTAACAATGAATATGATTTTCCTGAAAACATTTCAGCAATTTGCAAGGAGTTAAGTGTAGAAGAACGAACATTCAGGGTGAAATTTGGTGGAAATGGGAAGAAGTATCTTGTGAGTGGCTTACTTACTGACAGTATACTTCATGCCCTCCGGTCTAGTAAACGTGTTCGTGACTGGATGGACAGCAAGAAGACAGAAGAGTTCTACTTAATAGAGAGGAAAGAGTCTTCCGATGTCTGTGTCAATCTGGGAATGCCTTTAAAGTATGTATCTGAAAACTCATTATTTGAAATGAAGTCCTACAGGCCGAATACACAGGGAATAAATGAGAACACTAATGAAGGATGGTATCGCCAATATGACAATAGCGAAAAAGAATGTATAGTGTTCTATATCCGTGGAATAGGTTCTAGAATGGAAAACAGTGGAGCACTGAGCCGTAGGTTAATCAAAAAACCCAGACTACTTAATGAATATTGCGTATTTTGTATCTTTGCCCCCAAAGAAGAATCCATCAAAGATGCCCTGTGCAAGGATGGCCGCTTTCTTCCATTGCTAAAAGAAGAGGATTGGGCCCTGATAAAAGATGGAACCCTCATAGAGAACAAATTTCCAGTTAATATATTATCAGATAAAGTTTATGAAATTGAGGTGGAGTCTAAGAAAGGTGCCAGATGTAGTGGTGATCAAAACAAGAAACTGAATGATTTAGATTTGGAGGAGCAGCAGCTGAGTACCCTTGAAAACCCACAGCCACCTCCAGACTTTGAGGAGGAAGAGCTCAGTGCTTCTAAAAAACAACAGCCAGAGCCGGATTGTGAGCAGGGACAGCTCAGCACTTCTAAAAAACAACAGCAGCAGAACCTTGAATGGCAGATCCTGCAGTTGTATCCTAAGCTGAAGGAAGCACAAGAAAACATTGAGAAATTTTTGACACGTAACAAAAAGGATTTTGAAGTTTATAAAAGAGAGTTTTGCAAGGAGATAAATGACGTTCTTTCATTCAAGTTGGTGAAGACTCTTGCTAAAAAGGGTGATTCAGTTGGCTTTATAGAATGGAAGAATCTTAACAGTGAAGGGTCTGCAACTTGCTTCGTTCTCCATGGTAGATATATATTAACGTGTTACCATGTAATAAAGTTTATAGTTGGAGAAGGAAATGAAGCAAAGGACTGGGGAAATATAATTAAGCAGTCAGCCCGTGTAACTTTCTCTTTTGAAGAAGAGAAACCTGAAGAAAAGTGGTTCTCATTGGAGAACTGGTTTGAAATAGCAGATGCGGATCTTGATTTTGCTGTCCTGAAGTTGGAAGAAAATGAAAATAAAAGTCGTCATCCTCCATCAGGACTGTTGCAATTACATTTTCTACCAGATGCAAACGGTCCCATTTTTATCATAGGTCACCCAAATGGAGAAATCAAGTCCATGGATATTTGTCTTGTTGTCAGTAGACTTGACCGTGGCAATGAATTTAGCAATCATTTGAACAAACGCAAGCAAATTGAATGTAGCAAAGATGTATGTGGTAATAGCCCACAGAATAAGTGCATCCATATGTATAATCCAAAAGATTTTGAGAGAGAGAGAAGTGATCTTAATGTTGTCACCTACAATACCTGTTTTTTAAGAGGGTCATCGGGTTCACCTGTGTTTACCAAAGATGGGCATCTTGTTGCTTTGCATGCTGCTGGATTTGCTTATAAAATGGGAAGCAAAGAGTGCAGCATAATTGAATATGGCTATTTAATGCATGAAATTTTTTCAAAAATTCAATCCGAATTTAAAGATTGGTATGATACTTTAATTGCTCCTGAGGCAAGGGAAGATAGCTCACATGGGGATGCACGTATGAGTGAGGCAGCGGAGGAAATGGATTGTAGTTCTTATCAGTCCACTTCTCCAAAAAATGAAATTGCTTGAGGGAAAGTTATCTGCCAAGGTTCTGCTTTCTTTGACAGATACATTTATTTTCAAATATACAGGCTGAACATAGCTGCCACTCTACATTAAATTTTTCAACCAATGCCTCACAGTTTAGTGTCCATTGCATTTTTAGAGCTCCCAGTAGCATACATTCTTTTGTAGTTGTGTATTTGTACTTCTTCCTTTAAAAGACACTGTCTTTTATTATTTGTGAGAGAAGAAGAGTGGAACTAAAGTGAGATCGCAGTTGGTGACTTACAAATTTTCTAGTATTCTAGCCAAAATGCTAAGTGAAGGGGGAGTGGGTTAGATTACTAAGTCACAACTTTACTGTCTAGAGGGATCATGTGGATTTTTTTGATGGGTTCTCTAATAGTTTCCAAGTTGCCCATGCTACTTATTTAACTGTAATTTCCTAACTTTGATCTTATATTTCATATTTACAATTTATGATTGCCTTAGTCTATCATGGCATGTAATCAATAAAGTTTTGGATTCTTCGAGCCATTGCATTGTTTCCATTTCTGTTTCTTGCAACTTAATATTCATAAGAAACTTTAAACCAGGAAACCAATGAGACAGTATTGTGTGTATTGTAATTTGCTGCAAATACCAGCTGGTGGCAACAGGATCTATCAGAACATAGTTTGGGCAAGCATTTGGGTTTAGAAAAATCAGAGACAAGACAAATTAATACTATTAAATGCAATTATTCCTATATAAAATTAGAACTGCGAGTAATATAAATCTTGAATTAATGATGCAAAAAGCTTTCAAGAATTGATGCTCAGGGAAAAGCAATACAGTAAAAATTCCCAAAGTACTAAATCTCTATCAAGAATGTCCTTTTCTTTGATGGGTACATGTGAATTCTTGGCAACTCTTGTACCCTCAGGAAGACTTGTCATAGGATATTATCCTAGCTCAAACACTGGCTTTTTCTTACATGTTAGAGAATTTCTATACTGGTGTTTTTACCCTTCTCTCACCCCTGTTTCCTGCTCTAAAAAGAAGTACTTGAAAATAAAAAAAATGTTAAACATGTGAGACTAACTGCCTGAAATTGGCATGGTTAATGCTTTATAAAGCAGCAGTCTCCAATTTTTGTGGCTTGGCAGCCTGGCTGGGGGGTGGGGTGGTAGCGGAACCGGGCAGCTGGATTTACACAAGCAGCAGGCCTGCGCGCATGCACATGTGCACATGGGTCAACTTGCACAAATTGAGCTGCATATGCATGTGCAAGCATGCCGGCTCGCTGCTTGTGTAAGTGCAGCTGCACCCATGCATGCCAGCCCACCAGTTGCATGGTCCAATTCCAAATAGTCCATAGCCTGGTAGTGGGTTATGGATAAGCTGCAGGTTGTCGACCCCTGCTTTAAAGCAGGGGTCGCCAACCTTTTGGACCTCAGGGACCAACAAACTCATAATTTTAAATCCCGCGGACCACTAATATGATTTTTGACTGACGGTGGCTTGCTGACGTTGGTGGGAAAGTCGGTCCCATATTCCAGAGCCGCAGTAGACACAAGACTGGCCCTTTGGTCATCCCAGAGCCTCCAGTCCATGGCACCCAGGTGGAGGAGCAGCTGCTCCGAGATGACCAAAGGGCCAGTCCTGTGACTACTGCAGCTCTGGAACCTGGGACCGACTTTCCCACCAAAGTCAGCAAGCTACCCTGGGGTGGATTTCCCTCCCCCGCCATTGGTCTTACCTTCCAGTTCTAGCTCACATGGCTCTACTCAAGGTAATATTTGCGCTCGGCTAAAGGGGGAGGCAGCAGGTGGGCAGCTCAGCCTTGGGTTCCCAGACAGCCTGGATTAATTGCTTTGGGGGGGACATTTCTCTGCAGACCACCATAATTTCTCATGGACTACCAGTGGTCCCCAGCCCATTGGTTGGCAACCCCTACTTTAAAGGGTCTACCCTCCCTGTTACCTTCATTCAAAAGTACAGGGGATCCATGGAAGTGTAGCGTTCAAGGAAGTCAAACTGATGATCGTGAATTTGCAATCGGCACCCTTCCGGGTAGGGCAGGACTCTTATTGCGCAATCATAGTTGCTATCTTGACTTTTGGACCCCCCCTTGCAGGTGCACTTACATCTTGCCAAAAACTGAAGCAGCTTCATATACTATTTACATTTCTCCATTAATCCCATTACTTTAGAAAGCTAAAAGGTACAGAAAACTCTCTTTCCCATGATTGTCCAAATCGAGAAGTATATACCCCTGTTAAAGTCTGCAGTTGGTTCTTTCAAAATGAATCTTCGTTCTTGAATCAGATCAAATCAAGACGAATCACTCGTCCTGAACTAGAATATCCAATTGAAATTGCATCAGGCCCTCTTGGAATTTCAAAATGCCCATTGGAAATGGATCCAAGATGGTTTGCACAGATGGAAAACTTCTGCATATGTTTATACTGTCACACTAATATTATTTTTTTCTGTGAAAAGAAAAAAAATTAGAATCTCTAATATTTTAAAAGATGTATAAAGGATGGAAATAGATTTCTATATGAATATCATCATTCCATGGGAGAATAAACATCTTAGTCTGAAAAGAATCTTCAGTTGATTAACAAGCTAGTTAGCTCTTAACTATAGCACTGCTAATAGCAATGAAAGCACAAAGTAAATCTGCAGAACCGCGTGGTATGCATGCCTTAAAAATGAGAAACATTGCTGCAGCTCCCTTTCTGGGATCTGCCAGCCAGGTACCAGTGAATCATCCCAATAAGCCTCCCTCCACCCAATAAATCAATCTGGCAAGGAGCAGAATATCATCACAAATGGTACTGAGAGAGCTGGGGAATCGATGCAGGAGCATTCCTCTCGTCCTTCTCCTAGCTAAATCATTTATCAGAGTGACTATTGTAAAGCAGTTTCGGCCTCAAAATTGCTGGGAAGTACATTACAATAGCTTGGCATCTCTCCCTGAGAAAATGAGAACTATTGCTAATAAATGGAGACGGATTAGCTACTGTAAAGGCCGGGGAGGCATCTGCCTTAAGATCTACATCAAAGCTCTTCAGACTTGGCAAGTTTAAGACTTGTGGACTTCAATTCCCAGAATTCCTGAGCTAACATGACTGGAGGAGGAATTCTGGGAGTTGAAGTCCAGAAGCTGCCAAGTTTGAAGACCCCTGATCTACATCCATGTGGGGCCTCCCGCACCTTGACCAAACATGATGGCTTGGGCTATATGGTCTGGACTGGAAAAATCTTGGTGACCTCTAAGAGCAACAACCAATTTCTCTAGCTCTGCTGCCATGTTGAAAATTACAGGTTCCCGACAAGAACCACAGTGAAAGAGCAGCATGGATGAAAGCAGGTTCCGGAAGTAATCCATGGTGACTTTTCTGTTGATTCTTGCCTGCTAGCTGCTTCCTTCCTCTTTTCTTTCCTTGCATTGGGAGAGAATAAATCTGCCAGATCAGGGCCACTCAATCTCCTGGCCTGTTCTTTTGTCTGTTCTTCCTGCAATCTTGTGGTGGGCCGGATTTTTACAGCCCAAATCTGATAGGCCTGGAAAGATAAGACTTTCAGGCAGCCAAGGAGTGAGTGGCTGGGGGTCTTCTAAGTCCAAAAATTTCCCATGTTTGGCTATATTCCAAATGGGGAGAAGAGCCCCTCCCTGACTAATGGTGGAAGGGAAGAACAGGATTTTTGAAGTAAAAAACAAACACCCAACACTGTTGCAGCCTGAGAAGGCTTGGTGCTAACCTTTTTTAAAACATGGGTGGGGTGAGGGGGCCTTTTGAAAGGTTTGCCTTGGGGAACAAAGAACTCTGCTTCTATATCTATATGCTTCTATATCCCTTGATTTCTCTGTTGGCTGGAAGCTGAATTAGAAGACCATCTCCCTGATGCTAGAGTAGGGCTTCCCAATCTTGGCAACTTTAAGAGGTGTGGACTTCAACTCTGCCACCCACGCTGCCTGGGGAATTCTGGAAGTTGAAACCCACATGTCTTAAGATTGTCAAGATCGGGAACCCCTGTGCTAAAATTCTCGTTTTGGGTGTGGAGGGAGGGTAGACAAAATGCCATTGCCTTGTGTTGAGATAGGATAGGTTACTGATAGAAACATCAGTAAGTACTGCATGTGTAGTAAAATTAGTTTTATAACCCCAAAAGGCTTCTGCTTCTACCCCGTACTGTTGGAAATAACTCAAAGTCAACAGCAACAACAAAAACTTGGATCGTTGAAAACAAAGAGGATTTATTAAAAAGAAATAACAAGACGGTTTGCAAAGCGCCGGTGGTCTTTAGAACCTCAACAAACAGGTTCAAATCAAAAGGCACACCTTTAGAACCTCAAAACATACTTTTATATACAGTTTCATCTCGTCACCCAAGTTCCCTCCTTCTTGAGACTCATTCCCTTCCAACTTCAAACTCATTGGATTTGCCCTCAGGTGTTGCAAGCTAATCCCAGGATGTCTCCAGGGAGAACTGTCTCCCGTTATGTTCTCATCCGTACCCCTCCGTACCTCTTACTTTGGCTGCCCACATGGCATCGTTAAGGAATGTAGCATCCCTTCATCAGGGCTTCTTTCTAAGCTCATCATACACTACCATTTTTCCAAAGAGATTATAACAACCCCCCCGAACATAATAATAATATAAAAGGCATATACATAAGATAAAAATATCAAAAGGCTTAGCAATGGAGCGTGTCAAACGTATAAAAGCAAAGCATGTGTATACAGGGAAATATATTTCATTTGATAACAGATTAACAGAATTGGAAGGGACTCTGCAAGGTTATCCAGTCCAACCCCCATTTGTGAAACCTTTAAGCATCTTATATACCATTTTATTTTTGAATTTACTTATTTCTAACAATGCCCAGCCATTAAGCCCTATAAACTATATTTCTGGGGTTGCACAGATTATAGATTTTCAGATTTTCAGAAGTGCAGCTTTGTTCAATCTTCCTCCTTAGATTTTTCCTTTTTAAAGCGCGCTTCCTCTAAAATGTTTGTACATGTCATATTACTGTTTAGAGCCTGGTACCTATGTTTTATTGCCAAACCAATGTTTCTTATCTGAGAAAAAGTTGACAGAATCGCATAAAAGGAAGTAAACATGCTCAGCAAAATTTTCTACCACAGCGAACCCTCTGCTTCACACCTAATATGGCAGGTAAGCAATCCTGTTCCTTATTATGTTTTTGAAAATGTTTGCATTAAAAAAATGATATGTAAACTGTCATATTAAAACTCCCTACTACTTTCTGAAATTACTAATGATGTTCCTGGATTTCTTTCTAAAAAAAAAAAATCACACATTTAAGCATCAGGCCTCAGCAGCAACTTGTGGTGTTCATCTTCTTACATTAGTAGCAGTTCTTTGCTTTGCTTTGTATTTCAGGAGCCAGCTATTAATTGAATTAACAACTTCTCCACCATGCTTCTGCTAATCTTACCAGGAGTCTATCTTGACATCTTTGTTTTTTCATGGCACCATCTCTGAAGATGCCCTTCTTACTTCTCTTCA